GTGACAACGCATCTGCATTTTGATTTTTAATAGAGGATAGATGTAGATGTCTATGGGCCGCAGCAACCTCTTACCATCAGGTGGACTGTGTGCTAGTTTGTCACCTTTATCCTATAAAAAAAAATTAAAAACATTCATGTCCTTTCTACATAATAATTCATGGCATTGAATTCTTCTACAAATGTTTAACTAATGTTTGTTATAAGGTTTCGGTGTTTCATGCCCAAATACTCAAACGCTGGTCAATTTTAATATGCTGTTAAGTTGACTTAAACGACATCCTAAAATTGAGAAGTATCTGAGTATTTGTTCATTAAACTCTGAGTTATTGTACTGTTCAATGACTAATAAAAATTAAACTTTTTCATGTCATGTCAACGACATATGCAACCAATTTCATACAAAGGAAGTCAAGTGGGACTTCCTGAAGACAAAGATGAAATACCTCTCAGACTGTAATGATAATGGCTCTCTATACTATTCAGAGGAGCTGTCCAGACGATGATCGGCGGCAAAAATATCTAAGATCACCCGTATATACGAAGATATCATGTGGTGATGATATAAGAGAATTAATTACCCCATTTATTTTTGTTTGTAACGATAATGGGAAACGTAATAAGGTCTCATAGCTCCAGATAGATGGCGGTATAACTTAAAGTACTTAGAACGACGACGGCGGTTAGGGCAAACCATGCTACAATGGCCCTTTCTTGTGGACTTTACCGCCTAACAAAGAAGAATTATTCTGAACAAAGCGTGTAGTAGCGGTGTAAAAATATACACTACCCCATACCGTTCCGTGGGTGTCGACGGATGGAAACTAAATCAGAAGATGGACAGCCGCCTCTACCTGAAAAAATAAAATATAAAAAATATTTCTCCAGTGCTAGCGCTTGCCTACCAACCTAGTGTGGCGAATATGGCAAAACTTATGGTAATCTATGGACTTTTATAGCATTAAATGGATGGATGGCAAATCCTGAAAACTGTCGAAAGCTGTTTACTAAAGAAATGTTTTGGAATAGAATTTCTTCAGAATATTTTTAAAAGTTAATTTTTAGGTCTAAAGCACTCGGGAGCATTGTAACAAATAGCAAGTGGAACTTGTGCAAGCACTGCAGTTTTAAACTCATTCAAATAAAGCTTAAGCTTTTTCTTGAAAGGTTCAAAAGAAGCAGCGGATTTAGATTACAAGGCGTTTCTCTAACCCATTCATGTTCTGTCTTTACCATTGTAAATGCTATTTGTAATTTTTTTACTTTTATTGAAGTGAATACTTGTTTAGAATCGTTACGATTTGAAAGTCGACGGATAGAAAAACCAACACTAAAAAGTGACAAACTTATTCATCTATAGGATTTAATCTGCGAGAGAACGAGATAGAATACCGTATACAGTGTTTTCTATTTTTAATTTTCAATCTACTTTTCTGAAACTATATTGCACATATACTAAATTATTATTTATCCTAAATAACGAACAGATAGACTAAAGCAGCGCGGCTGACAATTTGCTCAATATTTCGCTCAGAAATGAAAGAGCTATGAAGAAACGTCCCATTGCTAACCAAATCTGTGCTCAACCCATATGTCCCATATTAGGTTGTAACTAAATAAAACTAAAGTAAATAATAAATTCAGATTTTAAACTAGAGAACCATTGAGACAGTATAGATAGAATAGAGGTTAACTTAAAACATGGCCAGATATTTATAAAAATGCTGCTGGCAGGAGAAAATATATTGCATTCTTTAAAAACTATAGTATATGTCTTTTTATTTTACTCAGTTAGTTGCTTTTTTTTAAACCGTTATCGTCAAAAAAATTCGTACATTAGAATTTTCTTCTATATCGTGGTGGCAGGTCACATAAATAAATTGCACAAAGACAAAACTTCAGACTGGAACAATTATTTCTAGGCCATACAAATATTTGTTTTTGGATTTGAGCCCGAGGCTTTAAGCGCCTTAACTAGTTGCTAAGCCACTGCATCACGGAACCCTTAAATTATAGTAAACGAATTAAGAAATCTATGTACCTGATAGAAATAAAAATCTTACGACTTTGGTGTTTGGGATTTAAAAAAAATGCATCATTTTGTCAACCTTTCGTTCCCACGATTTGAGTCAAAGTCAACTTTAAAACACAAACATAACTGAATCGTTTATAGCTACAGCAAGTAACGGTGTTAAGAACAGGTAAGTGGTTTGAATCGTGGGAGTAAATTCGCCATACGTCTTCTTTTCTTTGATTTCAGTTCGATTATATTGATTTACAAACAAAATAAGACGAGCTTAAAACAAACTACACAAAAAATAACCAGGAAAACATAAACTCGGACATAAACTGACACTTGATATTAGATAGTGACGTTTTTGTATCACAAAAAATAGAAGTAGTTTATCCTGTTCTAACGTTTTCTCATGCAATATTTTAGTTTCACCTTCCAGAAGTTAGCGTTGCTATAACCAACAAATCGGTTAGATTGGTAGTCATAATTTTTTTATAGGATAGTGTGACTAAGGAGCACACAGTCCACCTGATGGTAAGTGGTTGCTGTGTCCCATAGACATCTACATCTATCCTCGTGTGCGAATCAAAATGCAGATGCGTTGTCACCCGTGGGGAATAAGATGGAATGCCTCTTTTCCATTAAAAAGGGTCTCCGGTTCTCTACACTCACCATACGAAACACAGCAGTGTTAAGCTGTGAGAGCGTGGCCCTTCCCCGGTCGAGCCGACTCATTCGTGCTACAACTATACTACTAATATGCAGCATGGCGCTACCAAAAATAGACAAACAATTATTCGATAGTTAATCTACTAACTTTATTAATTAATTAGATATTTATTTTATATACTTCTTGGCTCATGGTGCGAACTAAGGGGTGCTAGATTTTCCGCCGCTACCATACGGCGAGGAGCCGAGTCTATCCTATCGGCTTTGTCGCTCGTTTAGCACCACCCGGGGGACACGTGTAGGGTGGGCCTAGGATTAGGTGGTCGAAGCCTACGAACTCGAGCGACTCATCCCCCAGTCCAGTGTGGTTTGCAAGATGACGTTGCGACAAGGATTAAGAAAGGAATGCTTTGGTGGTTTGGTCATGTAGAAAGAATGAACGAGGAAAGAGTGACAAAGCAAATTTATATTGCAGAAGTGAACGGCAGGATCAGGAAGGGACGCCCTAGACGAAGGTTTATGGACCAAATTGGCGATACATTAAAAATGGGCCAGATTAGGAATACCCTTAACCGACGAGCGGGTATGCCTAGATATATGGATGTAAAAGAGACGAGCGAGGTGTGTCAGGATCGCGCCAAATGGAAGTCCGTAGTCTCTATCTACCTCCCTGGGTGACAGGCTTGAGTGTTTATGTATATGTATGTATTATTTTATATATTCTATTAATAGTATAAAACTTATGTTAATAATATTCCTAATATTGAAATTTCATTTCTAATAGGAAAATATAAGTATCTTTTATTCGGAAGATGGAACAGACTCCCGCAAATACCGCCAAACTATCCGAAGAGGAAATCAAAGAGGTTTCCGATGTAAACGGAAGCGAGCTTCCGTGCAGTTGTCAATTAGCCTGTTGGTATCAAAACACTGCCCTGTGGAGGACCATTTTGAAAATAATTATTTTAAGGAGACTTAGGGTATCGAATTAGTGATCAGTGTTCATTTATAAATAACACTTTATGTTTTTGGACATTTATACTCGTACACTATGGACACTATCTACAATATATAATATGCATAATATTAATTATACGTACAAATACATAACAACCAAAGTACAAATATTAATTATTTCTTGAATCGGATTTTTTTTCTGTCTAGAAGTCCGTCTGGACCCTATTACCTTTTTATGTTGCTAAAGTGGTCCGGTCTGATATTAAGGTATATATTGAAAAGCCTTATATCCAGGTTTATTTCAGGCTACAATCCAGTAAACTAAATTTTTTCGAGAAATATAAATATGTCACAAAGCTTATATCAACTAAGCCTGTCTTAATTGTAAACTAACAAACTAAAATAAATGCTTTATGACGATAATCGATTGAAAGGCTCAAACATATTACGTAAAGGGTTGTGACTTGAGGATCTAGGATGTAGCACTTTAATCATATATTGATGATAAGACATTATAAGATATTACATTAGAAATTAGCTTTTTATGTCTTGTGCGTTTACAACGTTAAGCATAGATAAAATAAGCTTAACTACCTGAACAAGCTAATAAATAGTTCGTTTAGATGTTTTCTCTGATTTTATTGTGTGTATTTCCACTTGTTGTTATGCTGACCTAAGTCTACCGAGTTCGTTCAGCGGAGTGTGAAGATAGGTTTTTTTAAACGTTACCCTCGTAAAGTTACACCAAGATTTTCTCCTGTGTTACGAAGCAGTTTATGTAGATAAATTGCACAAGGACAAACATCCAGACTCAGAACAATTATTCGTAGGAAATACAAATACTTGTTCTGTACGGAATTCGAACTCGCGGCGCACTGCGCCGTGGTTTTTGAATTGAAAACTTCTTTAGGCACGTTGGGTACTTTTGTGATGGCAAAATAATACTGTATTCACGTGGCCATCATGCTCAGGTACATATATAATCAGGCATATATAGATATTTCTTAATAACCCGAAAATAATGTTTATAAGTTTGTGAAGCTAAAAAAGTTTTCACTTCTGACGAGCAGTCTGACAGTTTTTATCATTCTCACTTTTTGGAACACACTATTTGGAAGATACTATTGGTCTGGTTATTTCCAGTTTCAGTTTCTCTCTTTCGCCTTGTACGACACACATAAGATTATAATATGGGGTAATTATTTTCCTTAGTAAGCCGCCACCACACGACACTAGTCTTATTTATTCAATAAAAATTATAATCTTTGAATAGAACAATGACTAACAGTACTGTTATAAAGTCTGTTGATGTGATAATAGTGAACAGAAACTGTAATCTACAAAAATAATTTTCATCTTAGAGCGAGTATTAAATAAAGAAAACGAAAAAAGCATCAAGAAACTTAATATTACACGAAAGAAGTTCGCCATCTTGGCACGCGCCTGTTTTTACAGTTCATTAAGCCACATCTGCCATCTTACGAAATATCCTTATAAGTGTCATGTTTCAGTGCCGGAGACGAACTTCCGTCTGATCCAGAACAAGACTGACGATGATACTGTGAACGTCATATGTGCTGCGGACGGAGCGTTTCCTGCACCAAACCTCACGATAGCCACACCTGAGAGGTACGTTACTTCCTTTTTTATTCTTTTGTAGTGTAGAACGAACATTACAATACCATCTGGGCCAACGAGTATTAACATTTTTAAAATATTGCATCATTTTAAAAGTGTACTTGTGTAAATAAGTACTCTTTAAAGCTGTCTTGCAAGTTAACAAATCGTTTAGGGTCTTATAATCCAATTAATTATTTCTAGCAGAAAATAGTCAAATAAATTAGTCTTTCCAAATATGGATTCGTTAATTCGAATTTTTTTTAAAAAAGTAACGAAATTACAATAATACTTATGGTTAAAATTAAAACGTAATGAAATAATTACTTATGACGTGTCAAGGTCGTTTTAAATCGAAGACGTCTGCTTTACACAGCAATTGGATTACAAAGCAATTGCACCTTATCGCCAATCAACCGGCCTACATCGCTACGCTCGTGGTTGCATGATGTTACTTACTTTATTGTTTTTGTGAATCCTGTCCCAGCTGAATTTTGCAACTGGATACCAACTTAGGCCTGTCTGTTCGCCACAAAACGCAGTCCGTTTAGCTCCTTCTTTTTGAGGTACATCTGTAGAGATTACTGATTATCTCGAGCTTCTCGACGTACAGTAGAGTACCAACCTTAACTTTGACGATGACAGTGAGTTGAAAGCACGAACTGGGTGTCTTAAACAGGGTGAAGCGATATTTCACGCCTGGACAGCTTTTAACTTTATACAAAGCTCAAATCCGTACATGCATGGAGTATTGCAGTCACCTTTGCCCCACTCGATTCAGTGAAACGTAGAGCCAAGAGGCTTGTTGACGACAAAAAACTGGTGGAAACTAAGCTTCACAGTTTAGCTTACCGCCACCAAGTTGCTTGTTTGTCGATCTTCTATAGATTGTACTTCGGAGAGTGTGCATGGGCACTATCAGAGTACCAGACGTACTGCAGGTTACCACCCAAACTTGATGGATATTGCGCATATTCGCACTAAGCGACATAAGTCATATTTCATAATTCGCACAGCCAAGGAGTGGAATATGTGTCAGCGTCTGTTTTTCCGTTTCATATGACCTTGACTTCTTGAGGGTGCGTTAACAGGCTTTTTGAAGGTGAACTCGCTCCATCGTAAACATCATCTTTGCCGTCGGGCCAGATGATGGTCAAGAGTGAGCCCATTTTTTGGTAAAAAAAATATTTGGCACAATTGCCACACTGTTATGCAGATAGGATATCGCGCTGCCCGATCTTGTACCTCAACTGGTTTGCAATATAATAAGTTCGCAAACAAAGTTTTGACATTGTTAATAATGCCTTTTACTAATAAAAAATGAATAATGCTATTAAACCCAGTTTTTGTATATTGTATGTGTTTCATGTTTAGGTTGTTCGTTTTTATACAATAAAACCTGCGGTTGCCAAGCCACCTGTCAAGCGTGGCAACTATGGCAAATTCTGGCCCTTCTGAGGTATTTTTAGGGGAGGCCAGTGTTAAGCAGGGGAATTAGTGATGAAATGTTTGTACTATCATCGTCATCGTCAACATCAGTTCATAAATGTCTTTAGCTGGTCTTGGGTCTCTCCCGTTGATTATTTGTATATTTAGCTTAATTCCCACCATACAAAGGCAGAGTGTTAGAGTGTCAATCAAACATCTCGCATCTGTGTCGCTAATCCAAACAAAAGTAAAGTAGTTAAGTGTTTAGTGTGTTAAACTCATAAAGAGAACTAAAGAATGTAGTGTAAGTAGCTTAAGTTTAAGTAAATTCATTGCCTATATACGTCCCACAGCTGGGCTCCCCTTATTTCTGATTTTAGCAATAGCCTTTTTTTCGTTTGCCGGGAATATAGCTATATTATTAGAATAATTGTAGTACAAACGGGTCAGCTCGACCGAGGAAGGACCACGCTCTCACAAAATAACAGCGTAAACGCTGCGGTGTTTCTTATAGTGAATGTAGAGAACCAGAGATGCCTTTTGCTGGTAATGAGGCATTTCATGATGCATCTTAATCCTCACGGGTGATAACACATCTGCATTTTTATTCATAATTGATGATAGATGTAGATATATGGGCAATAGTTACAACAATTACCATTAGGTGGACTGTGTGCTCCTTAGTCAACCTTATCCTATAAAAAAGGTAAAAAATGTAAAGCTGTAATTGAAAATTAATATCTACACAACTCCTTCGCTTAATAGTAATTTAAAATTAACTTGGTTGTATAAACTAGAAAGATCCTTTAGTCCAATAAAATTATAATGTATTTGATTAAGTTAAACTTTTAAATCTATGGACTGAACTAGATGTATTCGTATAATAGTGTAGTAAACGCCATGAATCGGTCAGAATTCGTGTTACTGTAGTGTTTTATGACTATGAAAGATGAAAAATTGTCTGTCCATAAATATAAATTTACTATAGCAGTTATTCTGACATTGTAAATCCAAGAATTTTTTGCCTTTTTGTATCGAATGATGTAATTCAGAAATAATACTTTGTTGATTAATTGTATAGAAAAAAAATATGCAGGTTTTTCTTTTATGTGAAATAAGAGCGAAATAAAACCTAAAGGTATTTGAAATCAAAATTTTTATGCTCAACAGTTTTTAAATTCTATTACTGCTGATAGTTTTCTCCAAACTTATGAGATGGAATTAAATTTTAATTTTAAAAAGTTTATAAAAATCTAACAAGTTGTTATCATTTAAGGCCTTTCTTTTTGTAATGTCTTCTTTTTTTTAATGTCTTTCTGTCTATTTTACAATTCTTTTAGAAACGAGAGGTGGCCCTTTTTCCTCTTTTGTATCCGCCTTATTATAAAAAGTAGTATATAATTAATCTTAGGCTTAAACTAATGGAGTATGCTTCAATAAAGAAGTACCTTGTAAAGTATGCGAACAAAAATCTAAAGTATAGAATTTGAGATCAAAACGTCAAATTTCGCGCTGCGGCTAGGGGACTGCTTTCGTGAAAAAGACTCTCTTCTTTAAGCCCGAGATTCTTTTAACAAACTTTGACGCTGCTCCCACTCACCGATCTGGCATAAACGAGATTGTTATAATACCATCTATCGGAAGTTAAAAGAACTTGCATTCGAAACGTTACTTCTCGCTTTTCAAATAGTCGCCTACGACAGATGGACTACACACGGGACAAATTGAGTGGTGGAATATTTTAGGCTGCCAACACCAAAATGAACCTTTAAATGATATTTTTTTTATAAATAGAGTATTATTATTATTTTATTATTCATTATTCAGTTTAATTATTAATGCATAATTACTACAATGTTTATGCATTATTAATACCAAAGTATTATGGATTTCATATATTTTAATAAAAAATATTTTCTAAATAATATAAATTAAGATCGTGATACGTGTTACACTCAGTGGGTGGACAAGATAGCATTACATGATAAAAGATAGTGAGTAACTTTGTTTGGAGCCCGTCCCTAAATAATAAATATTTTTTTTTTAGTATTATGATCTTCTGATAATAATAAAAAACGCCTTAATTATAGTAATTTTTGTCCACCATATGTCGCACGCTTATTTTGTGCTGGACAAATATCAATTTTAAATGGTAGGGCGCAATTACAGCGTCTGACCAACACTAATAATAGAGGTTATGCCATATTAGAGTATTGCCATAAGGCTTATAAGGTGAGCTCTGAGCAACATTGGTCAGGCCTTTATATCTTTCTGAGCAACATTATTTACAACATTATCACCTTATGGCTGTAACGTATCGTTCCTCATAACACCACTGCTGGTCACAGGGCCAGTTCGCATGTATTAGAGATACACTGCAATAATATTAGGGTTACAGTACAAATGGGTCCGGTTAACCACCAAAGGAGTAGGCTCTCACAGAAAAAAAGTGTGAAATACTCCTGTATTTCGTACGGTGAGTGAAGAGAACCGTAGTTACTAGTACTAGTTACTACTTACTAGTTACTATTAATTAGGCATTCTATCTTCGCAATCAAGAATAATATTGAAAATTAACAGCAGACTATTTAAATTAATTATTGGTGTGTTGCAGCTATCAGTTAAGAAATTTTAGTTTAAGTTAATTAAGAACTCAAACTCGAAAAATGTTAAAATGAACTATGTTATACTTATGAATTTAAACAGTGAGAACACAGGTTATTGGTTTCGGGGGTTGTAATTAATGTTCATTTGGATATTATTGTTGGTAATATATCTGATTTTTGGAATTTTAATTTAAATATTTTCATACTTCAGGATTTCTATGTGCGTGCAGGCTTATATATGTCACATTTTCATCCTAAGAAAAAATTAAGTTTTCATTGAAATGGATAAAATTTTTTAGTTCTTATTTTTAAAGAACTTAAATTTGTTTACCAATTGGGCAGTTGATAATGAGGGTATAAATACTCATCGCACTGTCACAATTTATATAAAATTACAAACATACTTAGTTAAAAAATAATCTGTGTTTTATTTAAAGGAGGCTGGATGGAGTTTCCCATGAATTGAAACTGGTGAACGGCAGATACTCGGCGGTAGCTTCGGTTACGTTGCTCGACGCTGACCTTCCTACACCTGCGGAGTTTATTTGCACTCTCCGAATACCTTTAGCAAAATACGCAGTAAGAAAGGAATCAATTTACTATCCGGGTAAGAATTTCCTTTTATTATTCTTCTCTACAATCTTACAAAAGAAAAGAATGTAAGCTTAATTGCAAGCAGACTGTTGTTCTTGTCTTATCTATACTCACCTTAGCCAGTGTTAGTTTGCATGAGGTCAAACGTAATCGCCTTGCGTATGTGTGTGGGTCCCTAAATATCCAAAGATAGGGACAATGTACCTATTCATATCAGGATAGATTATTACTTACTATTATTATATTATTAATATAATAAAGCGGAAGAAATGTTTGTTTTTTTGTTTGTTTAAACGCGCTAATCTCTGGAACTACCAGTCCGATTTGAAAAATTCTTTTTGTATATTGTAGCCAGATTCATGTGGAATAGTATAGCCTATCTAGCAATAATCTATATCACTCAGCTAGCCTTATTATATAATATAATAAAGCGGAAGAGTTTGTTTGTTTTTTGTTTGTTTAAACGCGCTAATCTCTGGAACTACCAGTCCGATTTGAAAAATTTTTTTTGTATATTATAGCCAGATTCATGTGGAATAGTACAGCCTATCTAGCAATAATCTATATCACTCAGCTAGCCTTATTATATAATATAATAAAGCGGAAGAGTTTGTTTGTTTTTTGTTTGTTTAAACGCGCTAATCTCTGGAACTGCCAGTCCGATTTGAAAAATTATTTTTGTATATTATAGCCACATTTATGTGGAACAGTAAAGCCTATCTAGCATTAATCTATATTACTCAGCTAGCCTTAAATATGGATATTTGTTAAGCAAGTCAGAAGAAAAAGCGCTCCCGAAATGATTTATCTGCATACGCTGGTGTTATGGTTAGGGATACGTAAATACAATGTTCTAGAAAAATATAGATCTTTACTCCGTCTAAAAAAAGTCAGTGATATCTTTTTCTTATAAATAAGCCATAATTACGTATTTTGTGACAAAAAATATTGAAAATTAAAAAGTGATTTATAAGCGTTATTATTAGGCATGGCCCATTTATCCCTACGAACGAAAGTTACTTCATCATCAAGACAATTTTATAACGATAAACTATGTACTGTATACCATGTTATTTTGACGCATAGTTTAAGAGATAATGTAAAATTAAAATGATTCAATACTTGGCTGGGCGCGCGAACGACGCATACACCTTAGCCGTCCGGTGAGAACTGTGAGAAGCCAGTTTTGAAAGCTTCTATGAGCGAGGTTAGTTCAATCATTATAGCTAAAATGAATTAAAAATTAATTGAGTACTTTTATGACAATGATTAGTTACATCTTTATTTCTGAACTCTTTCATTTCACGTTACTATGGCATTTTGAAAATTTTGTTGATTAATAAGTATAAGAGTTTGATGGCAAATTTATCAAGAATCATTTCATGCCTACACACTTTTCGCGCGCTTCGGGACTCTTTCTGGGACGTGATGGGGAGGGGGGAAGGACGCTCAACCGGGAGGGGGAGGGAAAGTGGATAAAACTTGACTTCGCTTTACATAATATGCCGACAGATAAAAGTATTCCATTAACTATGCCAATTTTTCCATACATTTCTACCAAATAAAATATTTAATTGCAATTATAAAATGCTTGAACTAGGTGTCATGTCATGTCGCGCACCTCGGACACGTGATGACGCGGGTGAAACCGCGGGGCACAGCTAGTCATTTATATACAGGCTTGAAGTAGATTCTTATTAGTAAAATAGGTGTTAAATTATGTATTAAATATCTGGAATGGGATGTATTAGAGGAAACAGAAAAATCGCCGTGTAGTCACAGCGTAAGAGATCACTCCAAATTGTCTCCTTGTTGTTGTAACAGGCGACTATGGGAAAAGCCAGAAAAGTGTTATAATTAAGGCTCATCCTCCTTACAAAGGGAGAAGTCTATGTGAAGCAGTAATTTTACGGGAAAATTTAAAAGAGAAGATGTAACAAGTATGTTGGCGCCTTGCTATACTACCGTCGTGTATCGTCATCGATACTTTCGTTGAAACTTCACAAAAACTTTGCAATGTTCAGCGTCTACATATTTTAAGTTTTTTTTTTTTTAATTGATACTGGAAAAATAACAATTGTAATAGTATAAGCTGAAAAGAATTATAAATATCACTCAAAGATAAAGAGATAAAAAATAACAAATTAATAAGTGACTGGACTTATACGTTATAAAATGTAGCTTTAACCCGAGTCTTGTAATTAAAATGTATCCAACTCTGCGTTTTATCGCACTTACAGTTAGTACCCTATTGAGTGCCATGCTTTATATTATCTTTGGAAAAAACATAATTTAAAATCTGATAAGTGAAAAAAAAATATATATTAGTAACGATTATGCCCTGCGTTACAGAGTGTTTCTATAGTTAATGTATTTTTTTATTTTTTGTATATTGGAGTTTTTATAACTACATTGATGCTTATGTCATTAGTATATATTTACTATATTCGTATTACATATTTACTATAATAATTATCAAGTAATAAGTTATTTTGTATTTAACGAAATATGTGTAAATATCTAAGTAGCTATAATGAGTAGTAATAACATTACGACCGTAAAAAATATACATAATCGAAAGTTATAAGAAACTTAAAAATATTAAAATTAACAGTTAATCAATTTTAAGTACTCTACGTGCATAAGATGGATGTAGAGTACTTTAAAACTACTTACGACTACTTATGGAAATTTTGCACTTTTTTCACTTATATTTTTGCTAATTTACACTGATTAAATATAAATACTCTTTTAAGTTAACCTCTATATAGAAGAATTTGTTAGAGAGCTGGCTGGATAATGTCCAATAACGGAAATAGAAACGTGTTTATTTATTTAAAACAAGCCATTTAACCGCTTTATAAGTCGAAGAAAGTCATTAAAACAGGGCAGTGGCGAAAATAATAAGGCTGAGAAGAAAACATTTTTTGCGGAAGACTCGAAAATAACAATTTTGCAGAATAATTTGCGAAGGCCATTTAAGCTTTTTATCAACGAAAGGTTCGTGTACACAGCTATCTAAACTGTAGGAGAGATGAAACATTTCCTGCAGCATTTGCCGTGAATAATTTTACGAGCCGTTAACTTCATTTTATGCGGAAAAAATCTCTAATAGAATATTAGTGGGTAAAGGAAAACACAAACATTTTTTCAAAGCGTCGTAGTCTTAATGAAAAGTCAACAGTGAGGCAAGTCGAGCGGGATTTCAACAAAAATAATTCGCGCTAACTCTTACTTTGAGAAGATTCATGAAACCAACGTATAACGTTTTATTAGATGCTAAAAATTAAAATAGTCCTTTGTAATCATCCTCTTACGATTCATGACACTGAAAATTTAAGAAACGTGTTAATGATATACAAACAGCCGCTATATTTAAATTGCAAATGCATGTTCAAATAATTAAAAGGTTTCTCCTTAAGCCATGTTTAAAAAATATTCAAGGAAGTTATGGTCAGGTCCAAAAAAAATACCTGAAAATAAATGTGAATGATGTAAAAACTTAAATAATATAATAAGTTAGTTACTTTGTCATTCCTAAATTACAGATAATTTAATAATATTATTTTTGATGTAATATTTTCACTTACTTACCTTGTTCATCTCATCGCTGGGCTTCTCCCGTAGGCTTCTTCCCATTTCTAAGGGGGTTATGGAGCAATTCGTCAACCTTGATGCCTGTTGTCGGACTATACAAATTTTTTTAAAAGGTTTACTCACGACGTTTTCCTTCATCGCCGAGCATGTGGCAAATAGCACTTTATATTGCAGTTAACAATTTTGTTGGTGCTCGCGACGATCGATCACGGAATGCTCGCGTAACGTGATATTTACAGTGAGCGCTTAGTATGTGAGCTACATCGGCTTTCATATGAACATTTATAAGTAATAAAATTATTAAAAGTACAAAACAAAAGGAACACAAATAGAAATTCAACATTATGCTCTACAATTTCTTTATTTTATAATCTTGTGTTTATTCCACTAGGGCCCATTAGCACAACTCCTGAAATGCCAACCGCGGCCGACATGCAACTCGCTGCGGCTATTGGGTCTAAAGGTAAGAAATTTCTAATAAAGATAATCATAAACTAAGACTTGTAATATTGTTTGTGTATGTGTTTGCCTTTCACGATAAACGTCCCGCCCCGTAGAACGCTCTTCAGTAAGACGTAACTGTAAGGCCTCAGCTTAAGTGTTTCGCACTTACAGCCCACATAATAGTAAATGGTACTGCAGCCCATAGTCACATGCTGTCTTTAGACGGGCTGCAATAGCCACTTTTATACTTATTCAGACAGACTTCTAGGCTGAACAGAAGTACTTACAGCTATTATGTGTGGCGTGGCGGCATCTTACTTTAAGACATTCATATACACAGCTTTTTCTCTTACTCGAGCACGCACAACTCCTGACACTCATAATTAAAATCCTTTGTTTGTTATGATGCCACGCTTCACGCCCCGCCGAATGCTCCCCACTTAGTGTCCAATTTATTACACATAATGTAGAGTGACCTGAGTTACGTTTGATAAACTTTTATCAAAAACTCGCCGCGACAATGTGAACGCTTTAAAGCGAGAATGTGAATGTATAGCAACTAGATTAAGCGTAAGTTTTACATAGAAATACAATACGCCAAAACAGAAAACAGTGTCACAGTAAAACGGTGTAAAGTTTTTCCTTGTTTCCTTAGTGATTGTCAGGTGTATGTTCCTGTTTCCATTCCTTTTGTAGGTCCCTTTTTTCCGATATACCTTTCTGGTACTTTTTATCTCACTACTTTTATGTAGTACTAAAGCATCTATGTCTGCTAAAGTCAAGGGCGGTACTGACCATTGTGTCGAGTGTCTAACAAACTATCACTACCGGAACTTGCTTACAATGCCTATGGAATTTATTTATTTTTACCTCTTTTGTTGTAAAATTGATTTTTAAAATGTTTATATTTCATACAAAATTGATTTTGTTTTTACAACACCACCAACAACTTACAACACCTTTAGAAAATTTTATTTATGAATCGTTTTCATTAGTGCTAGCGTATAAGAATCCACTGCCCCATGTCATCCCCTGGGTGTCATTACAGGTGTCAAGAGGAAATAAAACAGGAGACGGGCAGCAGCATCTTCCCAATAAAGACTTTAAATAATACTGCGGTTGTCAACCCACCTGCAAAGCATGTCAACTATAGCAAATATGAGGGATATTGTATAAAGTCATCTCATGGCAATCTATAGGGACGACTTAATTCAGCAGTGAACTTTCATAGTCTATGATGAATGAATGAATAAAATATGCTATTATAATATTCTCATACTTAAAAATCTTTTTTTAATTGTATTAGAACAACATACGAGCTAAAAGTCTATCTAATTTTAAGTGGATCCGCCATCCCATTGACACCTGCAGTAAACTCTAAACAAAAATACCACATGCTTTGTTACCCCTGAACATTAAGATACCGTGCCTTGCAGCCTGTAGCCATACTAAACTTTCTTCTAGAACACCAGAAAATGGTAGCGGGTTTTATATAATTTAATGTAATTTTACATTTTTTATTATAAAATTAATGAAGTGACTAATGGACTTACAACGTAGAAGGCTATTACTGCCAATGGACTAATGGCCTTCTCCATAGAATACCTCATTTCATTGGGGGGGTATTTGTCAAAGTTGTTATGCTTGGCAAGCGGGTTGGCAACCGATGTTTTTTTTATTTTTAATCTTTATTCGGAAACCGCTAATGCTTAATAGCGTATATATATATATATATATATATATATATATATATATATATATATATATATATATATATATGCACCCTGTACGCTATTTTGCACACACTACTGTTTAGTGGCAGGAAGAGGTAAAAGGGTAATATACCCAGGCGGAATATTTACAAGAAAAAGACCCATAACATCTAGAATGAACTCTGTCAGAATTTAGAAAGACACATATACATTTTTTTAAATATTATCAACACTACATTTATTTATAACGTTTTTTTTTTGTTACCAAATAAGTCTATAGTCTATTCACTAGAAGTAGGTATATTATTTAACGTCTCAACGTCATAGGTATTAAGAAGATTGAGATCCTCCAATACTTTTTTATAGAACACAGGTGACAATCAAATACACCTGATGGTAAATAGATCCTAAGGCACTTAGACATGTACATCGTTTAAGAATCAAAATGCAGATGCGTTGTCACCAAGAGAGGACAAATATAGAATGTCTCGTTTCTAGTAAAAAAAGTCTACAGTTCTCTAAACTCACCTCTAAGAAATATAGCAACATTATACCGCTATTTTACACTGGTATTGTAGAGGTGTAGAGGTGCTGTGAGAGGGTGGTCCTTCCGCGGTCGAACTCATCACATATCAGAGCTACAACCATAATAAAACTGCAGCGCGGCTCTATCATTTAAGAAATAATTTAATTATTGCAAAATTTACAGTAAACCTGTAGGTAAATTTTGCCTCCAAAAGTTTGTGAAAAAAAAACACTTTTTAAACCATTACTTAATTATTTAACTTTTTTTGTTTTTGGTTTTTTGGTTACTCTTTGTTGATGTTAAACTGTTTTTTAATATTATTTGTTTCTTCAGGAACAAGCACGCGCACAGTGATAGCATTGGTCTTACTACCAGCTTTAGCTCAGTCGTTACTGGCAGTCAAATGAAAACGTTATAGAAATTTGTATAAGGTAAGAAAATTTATTATACTGTTTTAAAGAAAAATTTCAACGCTTTTATTGAAAAGTACTCGGCCTAACACAGATCCATTCAATTCTAAAAATCAAATCTACCCACATTATTTAGTTCAGTTCAGACTAGTTCATTGTGTGAAGTTCGAAACGTGTGCGATAATTAGTTGTGATTTTATAAATTTATTAACAAAGTAATCGGACATAATTTCCGCGAATGGAGCAAATCGAGCAGCGTGCCGTCATTAAGTACCTCCATAAGAAGGGGCTATCATCAAAAGCCATCCATGATGACATGGTCAGTACATTAGGCGATTGTGCTCTGTCATATTCATCCGTCAATAAATGGATGGCAGAATTTAAGCGTGGTAGAGAGAGTGTGAAAGATGAACCCCGCTCTGGAAGTCCTTCGACGTCAACTACTGACGAAAATTTTTAAAATGTACTTGATTTAATAATGGGAGACCGCAGATTAAAAATTAGAGAGATAGCCGAGATTATAGGCATCTCTTATGAACGAACTCAAAACATCATTGTCAACGAGTTGGGTTTCCACAAGGTGTCTGCGAGGTGGGTTCCGCGACTGCTTTCAGTTGAACAAAAAAGGACGCGATTGACTATTTCACGCGACTGTTTTGAGTTATTTGAAGCCGATGCAGATGATTTTTTGAATCGTTTTGTTACTATGGACGAAACATGGGTTCATTACTGTACACCGGAAATAAAACAACAATCAAAACAGTGGAGAAGACCTGGTTCACCACCCCCTAAAAAGGCTAAGTCGATTTTGTCGGCAAATAAGGTGATGGCTTCAGTATTCTGGGACTCGAAAGGTGTGATTATGATTGATTATCTTAAAAGGGGTCAGAATATAAACTCTGATTACTACTGCATCTTACTACGTCATTTACGAGAGGAAATAAAAGAAAAACGTCGAGGAATGCTCAGAAGAAAAGTCCTGTTTCATCAAGATAACGCCCGTGTTCACACGTCAGTACAGTCAATGGCTGAAATTCACAACTGTAGCTTTGAACTGTTACCACATCCGCCGTATTCACCTGATCTGGCACCATCAGACTTCTTTCTGTTCCCTAACCTAAAAAAGCACTTGGGAGGTCAAAGATTTTCGACAAACGACGAGGTCAAAGCAGCTGTAGACGCATATTTTGACTCTAAGGAAGAATCATTTTTTTTCAACGGTCTAAATGCTTGGAAGGGGAGGTGGCAAAAGTGTATTGAACTTGATGGTGATTATGTAGAAAAATAAAAATATAACTGATTTAGTATGTGTTTATTTTCTTGGTTAGGCCGAGTACTTTTCAATCCACCCTCGTATATCTGTCTACGTCAGAAGAATAAGCAGATAACTTGTAATACAGGACTGCTTCAAGCACACATACTTGAAGCTCTTTTTTTACGATTATATGCCAGTGCATGACTACTATCCCAACTGATAGAAAACTTATATACATAGTAACTTTAAACAAATAAGGTTACAGATATGATGTCACCTCTAATCACTACGATTAAATGCCTCAGACACTGTAATTATACTGACTCTTTATACCCTTGACACTAGAAAACTATTAGTATTCCAGATAATTTTCTTATACTATCAATGCTGTTTACATTACAACTTCCCGTTAATCACTCCAGGTAAGCTTAAAATTCTTTGGATAGGAGTGGTTCACGACAGTATTCGAATGGTGGATTCGAATCCACGAGCCTTGAATTCGCAGTTCGCGCTCTACATTATTCTACTGTCGCTTAGTAATTATTACACTTATTATAATATTTAATTTTATTTTACGAGGGCGACACTGAAAGATTTTAGAACTGACCACTTGTAAACGATATAATAAAAAAATAAGTAAAAATTTTGAAATTGGAACTATTTTCCAATATTATTGTGTATATGTATTTTATTAATTTGTGATTTGTTTGCGATTTGGCGGCAAAAAGAAAATTGTCTGTGTCACGTTAGTATGAATGTAACGCGAGAAAATTTTCGTACAATGATTTTTTATGACTTTCGATGTCCTTTAAGTCAACAAGAAAGTTATGATAGACTTCGATTGGCCTTTCCCGATGAAGCCCCATCTCGTGCTACTATTTACAACTTGTTTCATGAGCTTAAACGTGTTAGCACTAATCTCACCGATAATCTGCGGGAGGGACGGCATTCTACCGTGACGACTGAAGATAACATCAGTGTTGTGCGGCGTATGATAGAGACTGACAAAAGAGTGACTTATCAGCAGATTTGGATAAGCTTAGACATCGGTTGAGTCCAATGCATAAAATCCTCCATGAACATTTAGCGGTCAGGAAGCTTTGTGCCTGGTGGATACCTCATAATTTGAGAGAGTCCCAAAAATTCCGTCGTGTTGGTTAGTGTCGTCAAATGGTTCAAAGTTTTAACGAAGGTGACTCAAATGCGGTGTTCGATATACTTACGGGTGACGAAAGCTGGATTTATTCAGACATGGAATTACTGGGTCACAAATATAGCAAATATAGCCCCGATCTGACACCTTTCGATTTTAATTTATTTCCAAAAATAAAAGAGAAACTTCGAGGAAAACGTTTTATGGACGCCGAGGAAGCAGTGGCTGCGTTTCAAAATGCCGTCGAAGAGACCCCTAAGGACGAGTTGGCAAAGTGCTTTTCTCAGTGGTTCCATTGGATGCAGCGATGTATTGATATAAATGGACACTATTTTGAAAAGATGTAATAAAACTAATAACTTACTAGTTTGTTAAATTTTTGATTTTCTAAGAACTTTCAGTGTCACCCTCGTATATAGAAAAAAGTAACAAAGTGCACCTGATTGTAAGTTGATACTATAGCCCATAGACAACTACATTTCTCTTCCATTACAATTTAAAATGCTGATGTCTAAAATGCCTGAAATGCTGTATCCAGTAAGAAGGGCCGCCGGTTATCTAAACTCACCATTCGAAAGACAGCAGCATTGATCTGCTATTTTAGGCTGGTATTCTGTGAATATCTCAACGTTGTGTTTAAAGTGAAAATCCCAAAGAAGTTAAAACATATTTTGTTACAGGCACCAAGCTGAATATCTATGCACCGAGTGACATTCCAAGTATTACGACTTTACGTCTAGTCATATTGTCCAAAGCCGCACCTTGAAACTGAAAAAAAATTGCATAGAACTTTAGTAAAATAACACATTTTTAAAATTGGCTTTTTGTATATTACAAAACAACGTCAATAATATTCGCGTTTAAAAAATATTATAGTTAATTAAATGTACAGCTCTATGATGTGAATTTTCAAATTTCAGAATATTTTTATTAATGTGAAATTAATGGTAGATAAAATTGTAAATATCGTCCTCTATATTTCATATGATGATGTATGTTGGTAAAGTATGAAAAAAATGCATTTTTTGGACTATGGTTGATTATTTTTAAATAAACGCAAAATTTTTCGAATTAGATGATAAATAAAATATTTTAATTATATCTTTGAGGCTCTTAGTAATAAAAATGTCACTTTTGTTGTTACTTTTTTTTTTCAAACGATAATATAATTCATAAAATTGTTGCTTGTCGCCAAATAGAACATGATTGTTAAATTATATTTATTTAAGATTAATTAATAAATTATTTTAGTTAAGTTAATTAAATATTTACACAACAAAACTCATTTGCTCTACACGTGTTTGTATTATGTATGTTTACATAAAAATAACGATATACGTATATTCCGCACAAAGTCGTAAGAATTATCATTCATAATTTATATACTATATGTACTACATTAACAGGGTACCGCATTTTCTTTTTAAGTTTATTAAGCTACTTATCGCGGTTCTATATGAGTAGATTGACAATATTATGTAACCGTATATCTAAAGTAAGAATCCATTCGCCTTTATTCCGTGATCCTTGGTAAAATAATTGTAAAATAGCTTTTCGCATCATGCTCTCTATCTATATTTGTTTAATTGTTATATAATAACGCTTTGAGCATAAACACAGATTAATACTAGTTACTAATAATATATTCCTGAATAAGGGTTCATGTAAATATTTGTATGGAATTTGTATGAAGTAAGCTGTAAGTTTTTTTTTGTGTAAAGGGAAATTATCATGCATCTACTATGCATATTTTTGTTTATGGATACGATACAATAAAGATTTTATTGTGAAGAATTCTTGACATTAATAAAATGGACGTTGTTTATTATTTAATACTTTTATTTTATTCGTCGCTATTATTTTACACATAGTAATACAAATAAGTATAATTAAGGTGGGTAGAATAGATTAGAAAGTAATAGAATAGCATATATTCTTACACCGCCACGAAACGGTTTATTCGTTTTTGTTCACTTTAATTTTCTACTCGGCCTTTCTAAGCGCCAGCTTCGTCCTATAAGATTTTTGGCCACCTTCAAAAAAGCGGAGTTTAAATATTCGATCGCATATTTTTTATACGTAGTTACGCGATATCTTCGTGAATTGTGAACCACTAGAATGTTTCTTTCGTTATACTTTAGGGATGGTATACCCTACAAATTCGGAAATTTTCCCGCAAAATAGAGGAAGAAGTTTTTAATGGAACTATTTCGACCAAATTGAGATTGCCATATTCTATCGTCCAATAAAAAAGGTAAGATTATTAACTTTTGATACAAAATAAAAGCAGACTTCCACCAACTAAAAGTAATTAAAAATAATTACACATTCTGATTGAAGTCTTTAATTCTTTTACACAATATGTTAACACCGACTTCAGAATGTGAAATTATGTTATTAGTTAGTAGCACTTTTAAAAATCGCTTACAACCCTCTTTGAAGTAGTTGTCCATATTTTATAGGACAAGGGGCAAACAAGCATGCGGCTCACCTAATGGTAAGTGACTACCGCCGCCCATAAACAACTGCAATACCAGGGGAATTGCAGATGCGTTGCCGGCCTTTTAGAAAGGAGTAGGCTCTTTTCAT